GAACTCATCCTATGGAATATGCCAAATATCATTCGTAAGTGTTAATACATGATAGAAAATATGGCAAAATAAATATGAGTTAAATGATCAGATATGGAAAAAACTGACTTTTAAAGATTCCCCTAATAAATTTATGATGTTACACCTTTTGATTAGTTTACAATAGGGAGCGAAGGGATTCGAAAATTGGCCCCACCGAAAGTCGGAGGATCGCGTTGGGGCTGAAATTATAGTTGTGCAAATTAGTGTTTAGCTCGTTATCCCGATGAATCATCTATCATGTAAACTATGATCAGAGTGAAATCACGCTTAACGATAGTTGACTAAACCATAATCCAATACATTTTGCTGACTATTGTCATACCTATTTCTTGTAGTCTAATTTTCGCCATGATTTGGTCGATTATTCCATGCCTCTTGTCTTGAGGCTTAACCATCTTTTATAGAGCATGGCTTCACACTGACGATATGCAACATGACGGACTAAAGTTTAGCACGGATTTTCAGGGCCACAAGACGGTGAGCCGAGAATCCACTCACATAAATCTACAATCAAAACTCAAAGGCAATCCCTCTGCTTCTGGTGAGACCAATTAATGAAACCGCTTCATTCGCCCTTTAAATACAACATGAATATTAAAGCAAAATAATAAATGCCGGTAATAAATAATTGATATGGCAATTTAATAAACTAAATAAAGTCAATACAAATACTTATGAATATGGTTGTAAAATGTAGAGGCCGAGAAGAGTAGATATCAAAGGAACAAATGAGACACTTGAAGTAGGTAATAAGTCATTTGAAAAGGAATAAATATTTATGCTTTCTTATCTTTAATTTAAAAATATGGAATGTAGTGTAAGATAATGATAATCGACCGTTGCAGAACTAAGGATAGACATAAGCTTTGGAACAAATGATAATAAACTATCATTTAAGCAGCTTGACAAAGACATAGGGTAATATAGCCAACTAATTTAAAAATTATCGCCAAGTGGTTGAGGGTTAAGGTTTTTTGATGCAATCCATCTCGCA